GGCCGCGGGCCGGGCCCCGCTCCTCCTCCTCCTCCTCCTCCTCCTCCCCTTCTCTCCTCTTTCTCCTTCTCCTTCTCCCCTCTTCCTCTCCCTTTCCTTTCCTTTCCTTTCCTTTCCTCTCCTCCTCCTCCTCTCCCTCCTCCTCTCCTCCTTTCACTCCCTCTCCTCTCCTCTCCTCCTCGTCTTCTTCCTCCTTCTCTCCCTCTCCTCCTCTCCTCTTCCTCTCCTCTCTTCATCCCTCCCCTCCCCTTTTCTTTCCTCCTCCTCTCCTCTTCCTCTTCTCGCCTTTCCTCTTCCTCTCCTCCTCTTCCTCTCCTCTTCCTTTCTTCTCTCCTCGTCCCTCCCCTCCCCTTTTCTTTCCTCCTCCTCTCCTCTTCCTCTCCTCTCCTTTCCTCTTCCTCTCCTCCTCCTCTTCTTCCTCCTTCTCTCCCTTTCCTCTTCCTCTCCTCTCTTCGTCCCTCCCCTCCCCTTTTCTTTCCTCCTCCTCTCCTCTTCCTCTTCTCGCCTTTCCTCTTCCTCTCCTCCTCTTCCTCTCCTCTTCTTCTCTCCTCTCCCTCTTCCTCCTCCTCTCCTCCTTTCACTCCCTCTCCTCTCCTCTCCTCGTCTTCTTCTTCCTTCTCTCTCTCTCCTCCTTACTCCTCCTCTCCTCTCTTCGTCCCTCCCCTCCCCTTTTCTTTCCTCCTCTCCTCTTCCTCTTCTCTCCTTTCCTCTTCCTCTCCTCCTCCTCATCTCCTCTTCCTTTCTTCTCTCCTCTCCCCTCTCCTCTCCTTCCTCCAAACTCATCCTGCAGGACAGCCCCCCCCCAGGCAATGCCTCCAGCGGCCCTCGCACGCCCGCTCTATTTGCCACGGTGCAAAAAACCCAAATGCCAGGTCAAGAAGGGCACTGGGGAAATGGCATCGACGTATTCCCCGGCCCCGTGGGTCCTTTGCGGGGCAAGCGGAGGAGCCCACGACAGCAACAAAGAACGGGGTTTCAGTAATTTGCCGGAGCAGCCTTCCCTTTGCACAGGGATTCCCGCTGCTCCCACATAAGGTTTATCACGTGGAGTATGAGGCAGGTGGGGTTTTTTTTTCCCCTTCCCCACGTCGTTTCCATCCCCTCAGCAGCTTAGGAGGGCGGTGAAGGGTGTTTGCACAGACACAGCTGCTTTGCCACAGCAAAACCCCAGGCCGTGCTTTGGCAGCCCAGTGGCCTGGTGTCTGACGAAACCTACCCTGGAGATACTTAAATATAAAAAAACTTAACCCAAGCCAAACTGGTTTGAGAACCCCTCGTGCAGGACTGCTTCCTGCCAAAGGCAGGTTCAGACACCACCACAGCTTCTGTGCCCGGCCCCACGCAGCCTCCGAAACACAACGAGCTCAACACCCGCTGT